CATTCTCACGCTGCTCGGTCACTGACCAAAGTGACACTTTCTCTATGAGATCTAAATTCCGTGAAGTTCACCTCACCGTCTTCACGGTATGCCACAGTCCGTTACTTGAGCTCCACTCTGCATTTCGCCCCACGTGTTTTCTGAGTACCATCTCCATTCTGCCGAGCGGTGGCGCCTTTTGAATCGGCTCCCGAGACGAGTATCTCGCCGATGACGTGCCGTTCGAGGTACTGAGCGGGCGGTGGGACGCTCAGGACAGCGCACGTGTCACGCTCCGTTGTCACTTCAAAGAAGCGTTCAAAAATGATCGCCATGTCGAGCGTTGCATGACGCGAGCCGTGGGATGCAACCGGTGGTGAGCGGCGCGGTTATCCTGTGGCCGTGTCGGCGTATCTTCATTCATTTTCATTATTCATTCATACCTGGCCGATGCTGGTTGAAATGCTTGGGCGTTTGGCGCATTCTGAGAGGTGCTTTTAATAACATAAGCTGTTGTTTAGTGCAAACATTTTTGGCCGAACAGCGATCACACTGAAGGCTCTCCATCAAACCTGATTGTATCTGAGCTGAGCGCCTGTTTCGGAGGCCACCCAACTCTTCCAGGCAGGGATGCTAAACTGGCGTTCTCAGATAGGCATTGTTTTGTTATTGCCGATTGTTGTTCTAGTTCCAAACATTTGCGCTACGTAGTGTGTTAGGCACGTATCAGCTCTCCTGTGCTAGTGCAGTGTTGTCAGCGAATCCGGATAGATCGACTCATGGAATGTCTAACAGAGAGAAATAGCTTACTGACCCAGGCACATCATACGCTGAATTGATGACATTTAAGGTGAACGATATGTATAGTTAGATGTTCAATTCAATGAGCTTTGTTTAATGACCCGGCCACAGACGGAATGCCTGTTCTTGAACTTGCAATATAACGCGTGCGTTACGTGACGGAAAATTGTTATTCAGGTACCACTCGTTATTAGTATATATCCTTGACTAGGGCGCCTCACTTTACGACGCTGCATTTCGACTGTGTGTGCGGCGGCACCATACAAAGGCTTCCGTTGCGTGGTCGTCGACTATTTTGGCGCGGGCTGTGTCAAACCGGTCATTTTGTATCGGCCGCGAGCGGACCGGTAAATTTTCCCGCCGCCGCCGCCGCCGCCGCCATCACTGCGTCCTCGAGGTGCCGCCAATCGCGGCAATGCTGATGCAATTGTTTCGATGGTGGCCGTCGTGTTGGGTGGACGTATTACCGTACCATTTACAGCCGGCGCCGGGCCGGGGCGGCGGCGCTGTGGGCCCCAGACGGGGCCGGAGCTGGTCCTGTGTACGGCCCAGGACCGGCGACAGTAGCTGCTGTAATCTGGGCGTCACTCGCAGCGGCTCTTCGAGCCACAGGTAGAACATTGCGACCTGTAAAAAACGACACTTGTCTCCTTTGTTTCGCGTATGTCGGAGGCAAACTCTGGTCCCGTGACTTGTGTTCGTGGCTGAGAACATTGGCTTTTGAACGAGTCTGGATGTCATGACTGGCTTTTGTTCTACTTCTGAACTAGAAATGGTCGCTATTGCCGCGACGCACGCTGTATTTATGTGGGAACGTGGATCGGGCAGGCGCTGGGACACTGCTCCAGTGCAATACTAGCCCGCTGTTATATTGAACTTTTTATATCCGCGGCAGTAACTTTTATGACTACATTTATAGCTTTTCGCAACAATGCTGTTAATACAGCCGTTGCCAGTTCGAACTCTTTTTCGCCTGGATGTCAACGACCTTTCAGCTTTCCCAAAAGCGTGTTGGCCCACTCATCGAAGTTTTCCAGGCGATTGACTCATGTGGTCCAATTGCTGTCTGGAGCGACCTACACTGCTGCTAGTTACGCGACGGTTATCTTTCCCCTACTGCAGAGTGCAGAATGGTGCGGAGTGCGGGCGTCGCCTCTTATCCTCCCGGAACGCTGTACAGATGGACAGACTCCATCCTCTGACCGTGGACGGGACACGGTCAGAGTGACGTCACGGCCCGAGCGCGTGCTGGGTAGGGCGCGCCGCGGCCCCGCCCGTTCTATTTGGCCAGAGCCGGGGCGCCGGTGGCCGTGCACGGCCCGCCAGGTCGTCCGGCTTGGTCCGGTGGTATTGATTCACACCTCGGCGCCGCGGTGGCACCGGGTCACACTGCGTCCCGCTGACCGGCTGCAGAGGCTGTGCCGGAGGCGCGCTCCGTCCAGTGTGCCACACACACACACACACACTTCCCGCCGCCGCCCCCGCCCCGGCCACCGCCGCCGCCGCCGCCGCCCGCCGGCTGGCGCCAGCGGTGGCGGCGCGGAAGCGGAGACTGGCGCCAGTGCTGTCTGGGTGGGAAGGCCGCCGCCGCCGCCGCGGACCGGGGCGAGCGGCGCCGTCAGAGACGGGCCCGGCCGGTGAGTGGGGCGCCGGCGGTCCGACTGAGTGACTCAGTGTCAGTCGCGCACACACTGCTGACCGACGGCGGCACCGGACTGCGGCCGACGCACTCTGAATACATTAGAGAGATACTCAAATAAACAGCGTGCATATTACGTTACTCACTTTGCGTCTATTGTTTTTAAAAGGGGACTCTGCCGGAGGCCCCGATCTTATATGACCTGGGTCATTATGTGAAATGTACCTTTATCTGTTTGGGCTAGTTTTTGACGTGTTCCTTTGCATTGGTGCTTCGATTATTTCATTAATTTTTTCCTTTATTTTCCTGCGACATTTCTCCTGAACCTTCATTATATATTGTCTCAATAAAGTGTTTAACTATGCCCCGCAGCATGTTTGCATTGCTTATAATTTATTGATACTAGACCGTTTGTGAGCGCTGTTGCGGCATTCCCACTGCGTTTGCTTCTGAAACTGTTTGCACAGGGTATCTATTGCCCTAAAACGAAACGCGAGTACCGCACAAGGAGGGCGGACCAGCTCAATTAAAATCAGATGTATTTACTTGTGTTTCGTTTCAACACCGCATGCAATCATTTTGAATAGCATAAAGCAGCATGCCTAAAATACTGAACAGTGAACACGCCACATGGAACTCGCATCGTGGCACAATCAAACCCGAACATTGAAACTTTATTTGGAATATTTCATTAGGTCTGTGATTGACTAAAAAATAGCATTCTGTCCTGCTTTTGGATGGGTTTGTAATTGGTATGGCTGGGATTCATGAGGCTGGCGCTGAAGTGCTTTATATGTTAAAAAAAAAACGAACGAACCTCAACATGGCCAATGCTCATGGACTACATATCTATCAAGCAATGGAGCTTACTCAACAGGCATAGGAGAATAAACATTCGGTGAAACACGTCATGCATGCATATTTATGATAACTTTGTATGATCATCAAGCAGGGATCACTCCAACTTATTTGATTTCTCTCGAGTGGCGCTGTTCAGTTTGTGAGCCTCCTGAGTCGTGTGACTCACGGCCGGGCGGTGCTTGTGATCGGGGGATGGTCTGCGCTGAGCCGACTATCCTAACCCGACCGGCCTGCGCCGGGCGCCCGTCCGCTCCAATGGAGGCCGTGCGCACGGCGAGCTCTCGGGACGGCCCAGATGCGACGTTGGCAGTCACCGGCCATCAATCATTTCAGATTCATACCAGAATTCAGCGAAAGGAGTCGCACCGGCCGGTGTCCCTATCGATTCATCAAATGTGCCCTGCGGAACAGCATATCTCTGCAGGGTGCATTGCGGAACAGCATATCTCTGCAGGGTGCCTTGCGGAACAGCATATCTCTGCAGGGTGCATTGCGGGACAGCATTTTCTTGTGAACGGTGCAGTGGGCTCGGTGCGGCGCAATACCTTTGAACCCGCAATTTTTTAACGAAAAAGAAACGGTAGAATGAAGTCGCGGCGAAGCATGTTTTTCATGATTCAAGAGAAGTCTGAGTTTGCTGTTTTTTCTACAACCAGTTTTTTGCAACGTAGGAGCCATGCAGGCGAAGGGACTTGGAAGAACTTGATCCGTGAAATGCTAAATATCTATTTTCGACGATTGAAGTTTGATAGGATGCTTGAATGAAAATCTGTGTTTCCTTCTCGTTCCCATTCCTTCAATGTTTCACGCATTCACAGAGTGAAATGGTGGTCCAATATTAGGTATCACACAATATGGGCCACATGGACGGGCCCAAGAGGCATTTTTAGTCTGGATAAAACAGGCTGACTCCAAAAATCGACCTAGGTAGATGTAGATGGACAACGAGATGAAATCCAAAATTTCACGCATTTCAGGTAGTGCTACTGCCTGAAATGCGTGAATCGGCACTACACATGCTTCCTGATGGGTCAGTTTTTGTCCGGCTGGATGATCACTGGTCCCCTGGGCCGTGGCCGGCGGTCGGCTGCGGTGCGTCGCGTCCGGCCGGGCCGGTCGGCGGCGCGCCCCTCCCCCGCGGGGCCCGCGTCAGGTGTGGCCGGCCGGCGCCGCCCCCGGACGGCGCGGCGGCAGCCGACGGAGAGGGGCTCGGGAGCGGCGTGCGCCGGCGGACGACCGCGCGCGCACCACGACGGGTTTCATGGCCGGGTGGCGGCTCGTCTCCGGCCCGGCGGATTAGCACATTCCTGGCGCAGCGCGCTGCGACATTGTGTGGCGCCACCGCTGAGGGCGGCCGTCTGGCGGCCGGCGCAGTAGCGGGGCCCGCGCTGCACCGCCAATGACACGCTCTGCAGCGGCGCCGGACCGCCGCCGCCGGTCCGGTCCGGTCCGGTCTGATCGGCCGGCACTGCACCAGGGTCGGTGGTGAATGGGGCGGCCGCAGCCCGCCGCCGGAGCCGCCGGAGCGTGTGAATGGAGAGCGGCGCGCCTCCTCACGGCCATGAAAGGGAAGCACCGACGCGCCCGGCTGGGATAACATCCGGCACGTGGCGGGATGGGGTCGAGCCAGGAGCTTAGAGAACGCCCCTGTGTAGTGTGTAACCCAGAATCCCATTGCGCAGTGTCTGCGCTGCAGCCGCCTGACCGCTGTCTATCTCAGTTCCAGAGAGTTCGCCGCCACCTGTGTCCGGAACAAAGCTGTCCAGTCTGCCTGCCGAGCGCTGCCTCTCTGGTGAGTACCCCACGGCGAGCCTGACCGCGGAGCGGCCGGCCGTGAGCACACGCAGCGGCCCGGCCGGCCGGCCGGTCCACCGAGCGACCGACCGGCCGGCGCCCGGCGCTCAGTTTGTATCGTAAAATACCGCCTCCGATAGGGCCCAGAAGGCCACTGGCGCATTCCTGTCCGACCGGCCGGTTATGAATTTCAAGTGGGTGCGGCTGGCACGCTCGGTGGCGCGGCGGCGCCGCTCGGCCGCGGGGCCCAGGCGGCCGAGCGCGGCGTCAGCCGGCCGCCGCCAAAGGCTGCCGCAGCTTATCTGATGCCGCCCCGAGCTGTCACAGCCCGTCGGCCGCCGGTCAGCGCTGTCAAAGCCGGTCGGCGCCATGCGGCCGCCGCGCTTTCACAGCCTTCGTAGTGAGCTGCCGTCTCGACTGATGTGTGTTTTGGCAGCTGAGTTTGCCTGAGTGTGGTCATTCGTGCTGGAATTTGCCGGCGGACCTGTCTAAAAAGAACGGCTATTCCGACTCGACCGTTTTGTTTTCTGTAAAATGTCTGAAAACCGGTTCTTTTGGCGCCGACGGAGCTCATTCGTTCTTTCACTCGGCTGCAGGTCCTACAGTGACGCCCGATACGCGTCCATTACCCTGGTCTTCCACTGACGCACTCCTGCGTTCACAGGTGAATCGGAGACGGTGGTACCCGAATCGCTGACGACCGGAGGCACCTACTCCAGCTGCGATGGTGAGTTCCTCTAAACGTGATCGTGCTGGGTGTTTACCACACTGTTTTACCAGTCTTTTCTCCAGGCACCGCGTGGTGTGATTATCAGTTTCGTGGGCTATCGTAGCATCCGTGCCGTGCCGTGCCGTGCCGTGCCGTGCCGTGCCGTGCCGTGTACGGTACCGTACTGGGCCACGACCGGGCAGGCAGCTCGCTGCGCTGTACGGTACCGTACCTACCGAGCCCAAGGTGGGCGGCGCGCCGTACCGTACTTTATGATACCGTTTCATGCCGTGCCGTGCCGTACCGAGCTCGCCGGGCGGTCGGCTCGCCATATTATGCCTTTCGTGGTACCGTACCGTAGCGTACCGTAGAATATCATACCGCGCCGTGCCGTGATGTACCGTACGTTACGGTACTGCGCTGTGCTGTACCGTTGACGCTACCGTACCGGACCGGACCGTACCGTGCTGTACCAGACCGTACCGTGCCGTACCGCTGCCAGTCCGGCGCGCCGTGCCGGGCGGTACCGTTTGCCTTACCGTGCCGTACCAGACCGGACCGTGCCGTACCCCTCCCAGTCGGCGCGCCGTACCGCGCGGTACCGTTTGCCTTACCGTGCCGTACCAGACCGCACCGTGCCGTACCGCTCCCAGTCCGACGCGCCGTGCTGACCGTGCGGCGCCACGGCCGTGTCGGCCGCAGGCCTGCCGTCCCGCCGGCGCCAGCCGCTCGGGAAGGCCGCTCGCTGCGGAGACGGGCCGTGCCCGCGCCCCACCAAGGCCGCCGCAGGCCGGCGACGCGTGGGATTTCATCGCATTACCGGTCGGTACCCGCTCCTCGCCGCCGCCAGGGCGTTCGTCGCGCCATGGCGGCGTCCCACCAGCGGCAAAAGGCGCGTCACTCGACTGACCAGTGACCAGCTCGGGCGAGTTTTGCCGGCTGGTGGCGCCGGCCTTGGTGTGACTGTGGACACCGCCAACGACGAGGAAGAGGGGTGGCCAGACGATGTCGCCTCATGGGACGAACCCGAGCGTCGGCGGCGAGTGGTTTGATGCTCTGTATGACGTGGTTTTGTACTAGAGTTGCAAAATTTCCCTACCGCACTACCGGCATGCCGGTAATTTTTCACTACCGCAGGTTTTTTTTCGTGGTATCTGGCATGTCTTGCCGGTAGCATGCCGGTATTTTTGATTTTGCACACACACAAAAAAAATTATCAGCAAATGATTCAAACTTTGGACACTAAGAGGCTATTGAATTGTAATAACAGCAATCTTAGCCACTGCAAAATACATTTTGTGGTAAAAGTTCCATATGCCGTATTAAAATTACCGCCAAATTACCGGTATGCCGGTAATTTGGCGGTTTTTTTTTGCTTGGGGCGTGGTAGCATGCCGGTATTCCAGAAAATTTTGTGGGGCGGGGCGGTGCCGGTAGCAGCCCATTGGGAAAACTTTGCAACTCTATTTTGTACTGAATCGGCGTGGGGAACGCCTCGCGACCTGCATTGGCGCCATGCCTGAAGAGGGACGTCATGAGCGCGACTCACTCTCCTGCGGCCGTTACAGTTTTCGGGAATCTGGCTCTCTCGTACGCGGCCTCTCGAGTCTCTGCGATATCGGAGCCGGCAGCGCATTAGATTAGCCGTATCAGCGCGCCGTGCCGTGCCGCGCGCGCTCGGCCAAGTGCCGCTCTAATTGCCCGCCGCCGCCGGCCTCTGTCTTGTGTCGTCAGCCACTCAGCTCGTCTCTGCGCCGGCTCAGGCGACTCAGAGAGGCTCAGTGCATCTCCCTGCGACTCAGCTCGGCTCAGTCGGGTTCAACTCGGCTCAGCCGGCGCAGGCTCAGTCTGACTGTCGCCGACGTTTGCCGGTGGTCCGCCGTCCGACGGCGCCAGGAGCCGGAGGTGCTCTGGCCTTTGGGCCCCCCTGTCTGACGGAGCCGGAGGTGGTGGTGTATCGCTATCGTCCAATGCCTGGGCTTCTGTCGTCGGCTCCCTCAATTGTGGTCGACGGTGCTCTCCCGCAGTCACCGTATCACTACTACGTGGTGTCAGTGTTGCTCAAATGTTCGCGGTTTCCTGTTTGACAAGTTGCCAGTACGGTGTGCTTTACCACAGGGTTTATTTTACTGTGTTGTGGATGCTAAATCCGTCTGCGGCTATTGTCCGATTGCCGGTTTTCCATGGTCAGTGGAGCCATGTCCTGTGTGGATGCGGTCGGGCCCGGCCCGTTGGCACGGCGAATCGGCCGGGGATGTTTCAGCCGGTGATTCAACAGGCTGCTGTTTCAGCCAGCTCTTCTCAGTGACGTCAGAGCTGTTTCTGGTGGTCGTTTCAGCTGGCAGCGAGCTCGCTGTTCTGCCGTCGGTGCTAGCCGACGCCTCGGTCGGTCGCCGCTCGCCCCTGACTGGTATCCTATCGAACGCTGGCTGGAAGGGTCGGCCCTACTGCTCGTATCCGCCCGGCCAGACGTATCCGCCCCGGCCCTGTAACTGTGGTCAGGTCATACGATGCCCGATTTGCGACCGGCGCCGCTGCCGACGTGGGTTACTCCCGTGTTCCGTCGCTATCACCGGAGCAGGCAGCACGCCGATAGGGCCGTGCCGTCCTTGCAAGGTCGGACGTGCCGGCGGTACGACCCGGCACTACGGCCGAGCGGCCGGCGGGGCGGGCGGCGGGCGCTGGGCCTCGGCCGTGCCCTCGGCCGGCCGGCGCGGCGCGGCGGCGGACGCGGGCCGGCCGCCGACCGCCGTCCGCCGGGGCCGCGGCGCCGTGCCCTGTTGGCTGCCAGCCAGCCGGCGGCCGGCGCCGCCCGCCGCCCGGCCGGCGCCGCCGAGACAGCCGGACCGGTGACGTCACCGCACGAGACCAGGTGTGACGTCAGATGGGGCCTGTGACGTCACACGCAGGGGTGATTTATGTGGTGCCACAGCCCGGTCCGAGTGGTCCAGCGCGGCGCACGTGGCCGACCCTCAAAGGCGGTCCGGCGCCCGCTGAATCGATGTACAAATATTATGCATGTTGCATACAATTACCAGGTCGGTTTAGGCCACTGACAGTTGACCGCGCATGCCAAGTGGCGCCCGGCCGCCGGAAAACTCTGCAGATGAATCACGGGCCGCCCGTGCTGGTCCGCGTGCAGCCGTGGCGCCACGGTGTCGATCTCGGACACACCCGGTGTGTTTTGCGCATTTAACACACAACCGGTCGGACTCACGCGACTGAGACAGTGGCGGCCGGCAAAGGCGCAGCCGAAATCGCCGTCCGCTGGCCGCGCCCGTCGTCTGCAGTCGACCGCTGCCCCCCCCCCCTGGTCCCCCCGGCCGCTCCCGCTGGGCGCTGGTCATGTCGACGGTACGCTATAAACAGTGACGGCTGCTCGGTCATTACCGAGCGCTCAGCGCACCCTCGCGGGGCCCACGGCCGGCCCGGCCCGGCCCGCACCCACTCGTGTCTCGATAGGTGGCAGCGAGTGTGCAGTGGTCGGTGCAGAGCCGCCGCCGTCCCGCTGCCGCTGCCCCGCTGACCGATACCAGGCTATCGGCCCCCGTCGGCGGCGGCGCGCCGGCCGCACAGACACAGTCGGCGCCGCCGATGGCGTGATACGCCGGCAGCGACCGGCGGACGGCGCCGACCACCAGACGGCCCGTGACGTCAGCAGGTGTTGTCCGGCGGCCGGACACGGCGCCCAAGGTGCAGGGGGCTCCTCCCGGGTGCGTCAGATAGGCGCATTTGTACGCCGCCAGACCCAGTGCATACATGAGTCATGGCTAATGCAATATTTGAAATAGGAGCTCGAGTGATTAGCTAAGTGTACAAACGGATCAGTGGGAGCTGAGGCATTCGAAGATATGTTCGCTCTCAACTCTGAAGCCTGAGCTGAATGTCGTCCGATGTGAATCGGGCTGGTGTTAATAAACGCACAGCAACACGTTTTATGAGACACTGAATAGGTAACTAGAACGGAGTGTGATACAAGAGTCTTGCTATTGAGATGATACCTACTCCATTCCAGTAACATTTTTGAAGCCGATCTGGCCAAAACTTACAAACTCACAGTCTTCTTATAGGTAATGGTCTGCCAGCGATTTGAGTGTCGTTTTGGCTATGTCAAACTTACCCGTATTTATTTAATCGTTATCTCACCATGTTTATCCGACTGTCTGCCAATAGGCCGAACCAGATGGTCATATGAGCCAGTCCCCTAGCCTGTCCTTTCCGAAAACATTTAATTAGAAGTTAAGTGCTCATTTGCACTTGTTGATTTGTGAGCTGTCGAAAGCTGTTAAACGCCATCGTAAACTCAACTTTTGGTTCAGTCTGGTGGTTTCCAAAAACCACTAATGCGGACAAAATTCACACAATACATGTTGGAATCGGCTTAGATGCAGCCACATCGCTCTCAATGTCGGCTCGCAATGTCGACTGGCGACTTTTGCGGCAATACCGGCGGTTTGTGACGCCACTGGCGACGCTCGGTGAGGTCACCACCGTCGGTTGTGACGTCACCACCGTCGGTCTGGTGTCTCTGGTGGGGTCAGGGCCGCCGCCGCCGCCGCCGCCGCCTCCGCCGTTGTCTCTGCTGCTGCCGCCGCCGCCGCCGCTCCTGCTGCCGCCGCCGCTGCTGAGCCGCATAACTGAGCGCCGTATTAGGACCGGCTCGGTTCGGAAGTGATGCCGACTGATAGGCACGGTCTGCGGCGACGCGCCGGCGCCACCGCGCCGAGTAACGGGCCCGCAGCGGCGCCGAGCCGGTACCGACGGCTTCCGGCGCCCCACACGGTCACAGACTGACCTCCCACCTGACCTCCGCTCTCGTGGTGAGTGAGTGTGACCTCACCGGAGCACAGAGGTCACGGTGAGCAAACCTCTGCCTGACGACAAAACTCGCGACCTGCACCGGCTGACGACAGAGTCTGTGACCCGACCTCTGGCATGGTGACAGACGGTGAAGGCTCATAAATTGATGTCGTGCTGGTGACGGACGGCCACCGCTCACAGTTTGACCTCCAGTGGTGACATCTGGTAGTCACACTGGACAACACCATCTGCTGCGGTACAATAGTTTGGCGTCGCCACCGCTCTTTGGCCTGGACTTTGGCCGGCGGCGGACGACCATAACCGAGTTCAAACATTGGGGGCCGTCGGGGCGGCGCGCGATTGCAGCCCGCGGCCCGGCGCCGGAGACCGTGTACCGGACCGTGAACGGCCATCCATCGGCTGCCGGCTCCGGGCGCGTCTGAGTGAGCGCGACAGGCGACAGTCTGTCGCCGCGCGGCCGGTGACATCAGCGCGACTGGCGCCGCCGACCGCCGCCGACCGGCGCAGCCCGTCAGCGGCGCCGGACCTCCCACCTAGCGGTATGCGGTGACGCCGGAGCGCTGTATCGGCTCTCTGTCGGCGCGACGTGTCCCAGTGCCTCCTCCGGGAGTGGTGTCGGCCGCGACAGGTCCCTCGGCAGGTTCAGCGGTGCTCGGCCGCACTGCCGTCATGACCGGTCACCCGCCGGCGCGCTGGGTGTGCCTGATGAGAGCCCGCCCGACGCGCGCCGCGGGACCCCCACCCAAACGGCGCGTGCGTCCTTTCTAGTCGGCAGAAATGCCCCCGAGCTGGAGGGGAGTGGCTTCCGCCGGCCCAGACCTTGGGATGCCGGCTCCGGCGGCGGCAGTCTCAGACGGGGCTGGGATACGAATAGAGGCCCCCGAACGGGATCCGGAACGGTACGAGCCTCGGAGGGTCCCGCCTAGGCTGGTGCCAGAGCGGGGGCGCCGGCTGGACTATTATGTTCGATTACTGTTATCGTTTTCCGTTTGATTTCCTCCGCTGTATCCGTCTTCGCGGTTGATGGAAGCAGAACAATCGATGGATGATGAAATACGGGCTAGCCTGTGCCTCAGAATGATGCTCGCGTGAGGACCCATATGGACCGTCTGGACCCCCGCCGGCGCCTCCCGCCCTGCTGATAATGTCAGCGGCTGCCCGATGCCGTGATCCGTCCCAAGTCGGCGGATCAGCCGGCCGGTGGCAATCTGTGTCAGCTGGAGCCGCTGCCGACAGCCGCCCCAGGCGGCGACTGGCAGCGGTGACAGCCACGGACTCAACGGCGACCTCCCATTCTCCAGCAATGGCCGGGAGCACAGCAGCGAGCCGGGTTCCGGCGAGGCCCTCTGTTTGGTATCTCTGTCCCGCTGGCCTGTGTTCTGTGCCGCCGGCTGAGGCCGCCGGAAATGCATATGGGCCGACCGTGACCTCTGGGCGGCCCCGCGACCGACGGGCCATGACCCCGGTCCTGCGCCGCCGCCGCGGCCGCCGCGCGGACGGGACGGCACGCCGCTCAGAGACAGACGGTGCTGCCACCGCGCGGCGCCGCGCCCAACTACTGGCTGGGAAGCATCTGATAATGGGCCCGGCCGCATGCCGTGGCCGCTCTTTATGGCTGGCCGGCGCGTGGAAGGTCAGGAGCGGACGGTCGACAACTGGCCGGCGACGGCGGCGGCTCTGGCAGCAGCCGAGAGGGCCTGCCAGCGCCGGCGCAGCTCCAAATGATGGATGGCCAAGCGCTGGAGGGAGCCCCAAGCGGCGCTGTTCATGAAAAAGCTCGGGCTGTTCAGGTTAAAACGTAGCTGTTTGGCTCTACTTATTGCGGTTAGCATGGAAGTCGGTGCGTGTTCGCTTCTCAGGAGAAAAGTCCGGTGAACTTGTTTGAGCCCGTTACCGTCAGCAATGGAGGAAACTGGCGGGCGTCTGGCGTCTGGCGTCTGCGGCGGCGGCGGCGGCGCCTGTGAACTGGAACTGCTCACCCGGAACCCGGCGCCCGAGAGATCCGATCAGGGAACTCAGCGGATGGCGCAAGGCACCGACAGCCGAGCCGTGCCTGCCGCCGGCGCCGGATGCGGATTCGGCCGCTAATTCATAGGCAGCAGGTCACAGCTGCGGTGTGGCGCCGACCGAGCGGGCCGGGGCGCCGACTGCAGCACGGCCGGCGCCGCCGACCGGTGGCCGCGTGCCTGCCGACTTAGGCGGCGTGCCGTGCTCTGCAATGGACGCGTTAGTCAGCCGCGCCTCGCCGAGACGGGGCACATCCGGGTGGAGAGGGAACCCGCCGACTCCGACCGAGCGACCGAGCGACCGACCGAGCGCCGGCAGACCGGTTGGAATGTGCACTTAACACGCCAGACGAGGGCTAAACACTGCGCCGGGCGCGACCGGACGGCGACGGGGTGGCGCCACCGAGCGCCGCCGACACGCCACTGGTAACACTGTGTAATAACACGGACCCCGCGCCGCCCGTGTACCGGCCGGGGCCTGGAGCGCTGCACCGCCGCCGCAGACTCCGGCCGGGAGCGTAACTATTGGGATTCTGCGTATATGGAGATAAGAGCAGCAGAATGAACATTACAAGCATGGCCAGGGACAGATAAGTGTGTTCTTCTGGTCAGCTGGGGAACAATTTGACGTTTGCCGAAGCTAAACGAGTACTTTTTCGCCGTCCAGCGGCACGGCCTTTAGCTGGAAGTGTTGCGGCACAGCATACCTGCAGGCGTTTGGTGCTAGGGACATCTAGCGGTAAATATGCGAAATAAAGTGCATTTTCGTTTGTTACAGATTGCTGTCTTGATCTGCATCATTGACGCGAATAAGAAAAGTTATGAGTAACTTTTTCTATTCTTGCTTTTATGAAGCTCATATCATCGTCACTTTTAGAACATGCGCTTGCATTCCGAATAATGCGAAACAATTGTATCAAATGTCGCAGTCTGTCACGAATTGAAGCAGCACGCGAGGAATGCTAACCAAAACGAATGTTATCACACGATCCAGATCGTGCACTCCTTTTCGAGAGTTATGCCTACCTAATCCAAATTCACTGCATTCTTCATCTCATTTTCGCAAGAGATTGGGAATCTGGCCGGTAAATACCTACCAGGTGAGTTTCAACGCAGTGGCGTCTATCTACCCCGTCGTGGCCTACCTTACCCCACATCGCCGGCCGGGCCGAATCTGTCCCACCTTTCCTGCGCCTGAGATACAAAGGCGGTCGGGGCGCGCTGTGTCGGCGCCGGGGTCATCTGCGTCTCACGGCGGCCGCTCGTCGGCGTCGGCGGCCGGCGGAGCGGCGCCCGCGGCCGCTGGCTGCCGGTCCCGACGGCGCCGCTGACGTCGGGTGACGCCGTGGCGCCGGCCGCTTGGCAGCGCCGCCGCCGCCGCGTCGCGTCGACGCCGACACGGGGTGGGCTCAGCGTCCCGCCGGCGCCGCCGAGCTCTCCGCCGTTCGTCTCCGTCGGCCGACCCGACCCGGCCCGGCCCCGGCCCCGGCGCCGACCGGCCGGCCGATACGACCGCGATGGCTCCGATAGGTCGGGATGTGACAGCCGACAGGAGGGCGCCGGCCGGCTGGCCGACTGGGAGACGCCCGCCGCGTCTGCGGCCGCTCCAGAGACGCGCTGGGGAACGGGGAGTGCAGAGCAGGCCGCCGCAGCCGAACACACTGTCCCGGCCGGGCGCCGGACAGGCGGGGCGGGGCGGGGTGGCGGCAGAGAATGTCGGCCCCGGGTCGCTGACAGCAGCGAACGCTCCGCTGGGCGGAACACAGCGGGATTTACTGGCGTCCGAGGCTGCTGTGTGGTGCTGATTGGACGTGCGAGCCAGATTACTTCTGCAGAGTGGCGAGGGAGCCGACTGGGGTGCGCAGGAAATGTCTTAGTCGCGTCACACGGGCTGACCGTTCATAGACGAACCCAGTACGGTGTGGCCCTTGTATACATAAGTCGGTTCATACAGGAATTATTCATTTTACATATCGGACATCAGGGCAATGCACGACGTTTTCCATCCATGGCTGTCGGAGCGAGATGAATCACGAAATACACAGACGGTTTTTATTCTGTCTGGGTGTATACCACAACGCCTGACCAGAGGCTGGAGTATGTCAATATTTACAATAGAAGTATACTGTGGCCCTCGAGGGCCCCTTTGCTTTGCACGGGACTGAGACTACAACGTAGCTCAGACAGGCTCCTGCTACGAGGTTTTCATGAATATTTCGTGGCCTCACTGTCGTATGCTGCCTGGTTTTGCATTTGATTTTCATGATCTGACCGACCATCGACTGCTTGACTTAATTACCATTTGTCTGTCGGTCTGTCGGTCGGTTGGTCGGTCAGTCGGTCTGTCTGTCCGTCAGCCTGTCAGCCTGGTCGGTCTGTCTGTCTGCCGGTCTGTCGGTCGGTCAGTCGGTCTGTCTGTTGGTCAGTCTGTCTGTCTGTCTCTGTGTCAGTCTGTCTGTCTGTTTGTCTGTCAGTGTTATCAGCTCGTCCCGTCTGTCTCTGTCTCTGTCTTTCCAACCCTCTGAACTCACCTCCGTCCCCCAACTCTGACTTCTCGCTTGTTGTCTGAATTTGACCTGACTGCCCTCTTTTCCCACAGACTCCCAGCGTACCTGGTGTCGGCTGCTCTACCGGGAACGAAAGCGACGCGTCGGTCCCGATTGGCACGCCCGCGGTCCCGTCCAGAATGTGTTCTACAACCTGCCTCACGAGGATGGTGTGGCACTGTCGGACGTCTGTGGCCAACACCCCAACCCGGAGCCGGATGTGCGCAAGACTCGACCGCAGATCGGTGCAGGTATGAGGAGTGGAGGGTGGTGGTATGGGGTGGGTGAGGGGGGGGGGGGGTGGCGTAAAGAATGGGGGTTAAACGCGTTGGACTGGGTAGTATGGGGTAGTTAGATTTGAAGGGATATCCTGGTTTCTGGTTTGGTATAGGCGTATTGGACCGTAGACAGGGAGAGGGTGACAGGATGACAATTGTTTTAGGTCACTTTTTACGCGAGCAGGCGCTGTTTGGTGGCTGTTTGCCAGTACGTGGTGATCCTATTTCGCGGTACGCAGGGTGGCCGTTCACAGAAATGCCTTGTTACCTGGCGGTGACGGTCACCGGGTCAGTAGCGACGCTGAGTCAGCCCCCAGGGCGGAGCCAGCCCCCTATATTGACCAGTGGACCAGGGCGCGTTCGTCGGGGGTCGGACCCCAGCTCAGCGGACGGTGCCGCGGGCTGGAACCCACCCAGTGCGCGCGGGGCCGGGCTGAGTCAGTGTGCAGTCACGCACTCTGACCGCGGTCCGGACATGACTGTCTCCAGGGGAGGGTCGGGGGTGGAACGGGGACGGAGGGGAGTGACCCACCCCCGGGCGCATTCCTAGACCGCCCGGCCGCGCTGCACTCAGTTTATGTTCGCCACTGAGTCGCGTGCCTCCGGCCACCGCGCGACGCCCACGCTAACTGCTGGCAGATGGACGTTCAGTTATGGTTTGGATGGTACTGACTCGAATTGCTCGCATTCCCCGGCGTGGGCTCTGATAGGAACTTCGACTCAGCCGCTGAACTGTTTGCTAAATCGATGTTGATGAATTGGATGGGACGCCACTAAATTGGCATCGTATATATCACATTTTAAGTGGAGACGTATTCGTATCGGCGTAATCTGCTCTCAGATATCTCGATGAGACAGATTTACTACGGCAGTGTTGGGCGAGATGTTATCTGCGTTGAGTGGCGGTACGGACAGCCCACGTGCCAAACTGACATCGTGCCCCTGTCACCATGCACCCGGCGAATCTGACCACGTGTGCCTTCTCTGTTGACAGGTCTGAGCCTGAGTCTGGAGCCGTCCGGCGTCTGGCTGTACAACCGCAGTCAGAAGCCGCTGTTCGTCTCCAGCCCCACCCTGGACCCGCCGGAGGGATCGCCAGCCTCGGAGGCCGTCCACAAACTGCCGCCCGGCTACTCAGTGCTCGTATTCTCCTGGACAGAGTACCAGGCCCGCCGGCGGTCCGGTGACGCCCACCACGAACTGCGCGACCCGCGCACGGCAGTGGTCAGCTTCGCCAAGGGCTGGGGCGCCGCGTACAAGCGACGGACGCTGCTCGAGTGTCCGTGCCACCTGGAGTTGTGTTTCACCCTGCCAATAGACGGGTGGCGGTGACGGCACTAGTCAGGCGCTGCAGGTGGCGCTGTCGTCGGTCCGCGCACTGAGATCTGGTCGTTATTCCGCGCGCAGGGGGCGCTCCTGTCGCGGCCGAGGCTGCTCGCGCCGCGGCCCGGCGCTGCGAGCGAAACAGGTGCTTCCTGTGCCGTGCCTTCCTGTGAACGTGGGGCGGGGAGGGGAGGGGGGGTGTCGGCGGGGGTGCGCGCTCAGTCCCCGGCAGCTAGTCGTCGGTGGGTCGAGTCGTCTCATCAGTCCCTGCCGCAGGCCGGTTCTGGCTACTCGCTAGCCAATTGTGTGATGCAATCGGATGTTATGTACAAATTTATATGAGGAATACATTTGCTACTGAGATCTGACGGGTGTGTTTCGGTGGCTACAGTGAAGCGCCAACAATCGTGTCACGTGCGATTGGCGTTCAGTGTTCGTTCATGTAGGTATATGTAGAACAGTGTGAGTCTTCCAGGCTAGGATAGCCTGTTCGATTGAGACGAATGAAGCCGAACTGCCACGGATCAAGGTAGTAGAGCTTCTGTCGTTGCAGAAAGTGACTGTCAGCAAACCATGCCTTTCGTTTTCCCCGTGCCTCTGCTAGGTTACGACTTGAGCTTCCACGAAGCCGGCGCTCAGCGTAGCGTGAATATCCCAGCCCACGTAATGCACCATCGGTGACGTAAAATTATATTCTGTTAAAGAATTGCGAGTTGTGCGTATACGCGGCCGGTGGCGTTATGACGCGGTCCAGCCGCCTCGTCACCGGGACGTTAAAACTCGCAGGCACATGGTCGCGGAGTACAGACAACAGCCCGGCGCCGTCTCCCAGCAGCGCCCGCCGAGTGCCCGCCCCGACACAGTATAACAACCGGGTGGTACAAAAGTAGCACCAGCATGTTTAAAATACGGGCCATGTCACGACGGTGGGCCGCCAGCGATTGTCAACAGTTTATAGAAAACTATAGCGTCGCCATCACAACACAGATATGGAATGGAGCGCAAAAACAGGCCGGTGTGGCGCGGAGCCTCAACACGGGCTCCGCTCACCGACAAACACTCTCCCACAAACACACAAACACTGCCAAATGTCGACAAAAGCTGCCGCCAAACAATACTGAACCATGGCGCTTGTCGAGCGCACGTCAAACAGTGGACTAGAGCATCGGAGATCCTTGCTTGTGCCGTAGCAGCCATCACAGTTAGTTCTTCTTGGAGAGCTTTCGCGAAAGTCTCCGTAGTCTGGAGACAGGACCGAAGTCGTTCTGCTCGCTACCGCCCCCGGAGCCAGCAGTGGTAGTCGTGGAGTGCCTCCGGTTATCGATGGAGCAGCCGACCAGGTTAGGGAGTCGCAGCCTCCAGGCGGCCGACTCGGCTGCGCCCCTCCAGCGCGAGCCGCCATCCTCCAGGTGTGACTGACGCTCGCGCAGGTACAGACGGCCCATGGTGGGCCAGGCGCGCTGCGCATCGTACACACACTCATCGTCGGCCAGGCGGCGGCGCTCGGTCCGCGTCGGCTTTCGCCGCGCGCCCGACGCGTCCGACGCCATTCGGCCGAACTCTAGCTCCTCGACGAGCACAAACCGTCCGGGTGGCTCGAGACGGCGAGCCTTCACCAGAGCCTGCGCGATCAGCTCCTGCGCAGTGCTGGCGCGAGGGGCCTTCAGAATCGCGTACGGGATGCTCGGACCCACGTCACAGACACACACCAGGAAACTGTCGGCAGAGTCGAGCGTGTCTCTCCGGCCACTGGACTGGATTGTGGACACCCAGGCGCGACAGCTCGGGTCGTCACCAATTTTCTTCAGGAGCAGCATGCCCTCGCCCTTCCAGGCGGCCTGCGCCCGGAGAGGGGACTCATCAGCGGCTAGCACTCGCTGCAGGGTGGTCTTGGAGGCGCAGCGCGACCAGTCCGTGGCAACCGACTCGATCAGGACGTAATCGTCCACGCTGTCCTCAGCCCTTCCCGCCTTAGTGAGCGCTTGCGCTATCACATCGCGAGTCGTGTGATCCTGGGTGACACGGACGATGGTGTACGGCTCTTCAGGCGTCACCTCGTGGACCATCAGGAAGAACGTTTTCCTCCTGCCACCGGGTCGCTGACAGGGCGCCGTCGAGTCGAGCTCGTCCTCCGCTCCCCCAGCAGGCCCGCCGTCAGCGGTCCGGCACGGTACCTCTGCCGGCTCCGAGCCCTCCTCATCCATCCTCGAGTATATGAAGAGAGTCGAGACGGCTAGAGGTCGGTCCTGCGCGTCATGAAGACGCACATGGCGGTAGCCGGGCCGCAGCTGACTGAGCGGCACCGTTCTCTGCGCCGACTGGTGGCCCGTGCCGGCGTCGGTGACCGTCAGACGCAGGAAGGCGAGCTCGCGGAACCAGACACGGAACACGAGTGTTTCGTCCCAGATCGGGTTTAAGCTGTTGTGAGGAGCGGCCTTGGTCTTGTACTTGACACTGTCGGCAGGAACTCCGACAATCTCGACCTCAACCTGCGGGCTGGCAGAGAAGCTTCCCTGACACACATACTGGCCAGAGATGATGGTCACAGTCAGGTAGGTCACATGCAGACCGTCAAACTTCTTCTCCCACGGGTTGAACCTGCGGTAGAGCACGTGGGTCGGATCCCACATAACACGCGGCTTCAGGACATACCCGCAGTCCCCCGTCTGAGAGAACATTGCTCGATTCACGTGGAGTGCAGAGTCCACAGTCTGATAGTTGAGCGCCACTGACTGGATACCACACGCCCAAAACAGCACCGGGTTGAAGTTGGACGAATCGATCCTCATCGCTGCTGGGTAGGTGCGCATAATTTGTACCTCTGTGTGCACCAAACAGGCGAGCGGCTGTTTTCTGCACAGCTTCTTGGCTGATGTCTCGTTGATGCTGGAGATCTGATAGCAGGGGTGAACGATGACCGGTTTGCGGACGCCTGTACCGGTGGAGGAGGCGCTATCGGGTCGTGGGTGGGCCGTCCCGCCCCCGGAGGACGGGATACTGGCCGAGCTCTGCAGAGCAATCCGACGCCGCTGAGAGGGTTTGGGCTTGACGCACATGGGGCTGAGCGAGATGAAGCCGTGGAACTTGATGGCCTGCGTGTAGACCACCAGGTCGGAGAGCTCCTTGGAGATCTGGGAGCTGTGCTTCTTCTTCACACCGCCGTCGTCAACGCCGTCCAGATCGGAGGTCGACCTGGCGAACACACAACATATTGTTAGTGGGATTGAAAAACGTGATACCGTATCACAGAGTTCGTCTTAAAATGACGTAAACCCAACGAAGTAGCGGCAAACGCAAATTGACGTGAACTGCAGCTCATTTACAATCTACGTATTTTGGTAAAATTTAGCAAGCATTCATGCCATAATGCTTGTGGAGCGAAGCTAAACTGATAAAATCGAGAGAAAATTGATACGCACGGCGAAGCACTTAACGTAAATATGTAAAAATTAACTTGCACTTAAATCGTTTTTCTAATTTACTTAAAAATAGCCAGATTTATCATCAGAGATGCTAGATTTTACTTGTAGCAGGGCACAATATTACAGCAGCTGACCTGTGCCGGGTCTGTGGAGGCCTGCCGTTCTCTTCTTCACCAACGGCCACATCACTGAGGTGACCCAGCAGGGACGTCTCGCGGTCTGAAACAGCCATGAAACCCAGGTCAGAGCGGTTAGGGCATAACAATTAGGTCAGAATGGTCAGCGTAGATCGGTCAGGAGCTGGGACATGGCGGTAATATATAATACTGAACGAGGCCGGTGTAAATAAATTTTCAAGACCGAGGTCCTTACTGAATTTTTGAACGAAGCCGAAGGCCGAGTTCAAAAATCAGTAAGGACTGAGGTCTTGAAAATTTATCACCGGCCGAGTTTGGTATGTATTTTACTGTATGCCAACGATAAAACTAGATGCCGGCAGCGCTCGTGCGTTGCCTTGGGCCAGAATTGGAGGAATGGAACTGAGTATGGACTGCAAAACCAACTGGTCTGAAACATCCATGAAATGCTTGAAAGCACGTGAGATTCATGTGGAGATCTACCTACAGTAAGATATGAATTAACTGCACGTGCATAGTTCATGTCCCAGGCACCACAGTGCAGGCATTTTCATAACATCATGTAGCGTGTGTCTAGTTCTATCAGTGTACCGACTTTTGTGTCGCTAGCTCGACGTTTCCCGGGATCAGAGGATCCATCGTCAAAACCGTTAACCGCCCCCCGCACGCGCAGCTTGCACCCCTCGGATATTATCTCGCCGGAATGTCATGACTCAATGTATTCTTCTTATGACCTGCAAGTTTTGAACCAGTTAGAGCTGTTGTTTACCCTGCAGGCGTGGCAACGTACGAAGGGGTGCAATCGGCTTGCACGTGCATAGCTCATGCACCACAGAGTTTAGCTCAACCAAATGTGCACTATTTTGGAGGCCTTGCCTGGGACTACCATTGAACCGATTTTGAGGTTGATAGATCAATATTTCTTTGAGCCAGAGGACCTCACGTCAAAACGGTTTTCCGCCCCCAGCACGTGCAGCCTGCACCCCTCGCAGACGGTGACCCCCCTGGAAACTGGTTCCAGGTGTTACCGATGTGTCCCGCCAGTATGGCTTTGCCCGTGACCTCGGGTTGACCTGTAGCCTTGACAAAAAATTTCGTGTCACCGAAACTTTGAAGCGGAATAGCATATGCCACGAAGCACCGAGCGAACCGAGGCCAGCACCAAAAGTTTACCTCGCCGGAGACGAATCAAACGGTCCCACTTTCGTCCCGATCGGTCCACCCATTTTGACTCCAGGTCCAAAAAAGCTTGGACAAACTCACTCACATACTCACATACTCACATACTCACTGACAAACAGGTTCAGCCGAACTTTTTTTCAGCGACCCACCAATGGGAATTTCCGGATGCAAAAGCATGCTATCGCAAAAGCATGCTATCGCATGCTTTTGATCCTCCAATTCTGGATAATTGTCTAGACCGAAGCTCTTAGCCGTTTTTTTTGAACGAGGACATCCCAAAATGTTGACTTGGTAATTCATTTTTGACCGTGGTCACTTTGCTTACACCTGGCTTACACCAGTTATTACCACGGTGACTGTTATTACCACACCCCTCAGGCTAATGTATTTGAATAGGCCAGGCATACAGTAAAATGGGCAGGTCAGGGCTAAACGGTAAAACGAAATAAAAGCACATATTACGTTATTCAACAGCAAATTATTATTCGGGAGCAGGAGTCACTGGCACCACATGCTCTTAGACGACCATCTCATCAAGGAAATCAGGGAAATCAAGAACTGCAGCAAAACCACAACCAAACGCGATATACACCCATCTCCTCCAGGGGTCCTCCCAATCGAC